TTTGGGGTAATTTATCGCAGCATAATTAAAATAAAAATTTTGAAATGCATCAAAAACACCTATTCAGACAACCCATTTCCAGAACAGTTGGGAAGCTGTGCAAAATGTAAATAAAAACAAAATGCAATGATGTGTCAATCATTTAAACCCTACATTTAATTGAAAATAGTATACAGACAACTTGTCAAATGTTGAAACCCGGAAATTGTATTTTTTTTTTTCCCCATTTTGAATTCGATGCTGTTTCAGAAAAGTTAGGGCAGGGCATTACAACTGTGTTGCATCACCTCATCTTTTAACAAACTCTGTAAGCGTTTGGGAACTGAGGAGACCGATTGCTGTAGTTTTGAAAGTGAAATGTTTTCCCATTCTTACTTTATATAGGATTTCAGCTGCTCAACATTTCTGGGTCTCCTTTGTTGTATTTTTTGTTTCATAATGTGCCAGAGTTTTTGATGCATGACAGGTCTGGACTGCAGGCAGGCCAGTTAAGCACCCAGTCTCTTTTACTACAGAACCATGTTGTTGTAGTGCAGAATGCAATTTGGCTTTGTCTTGCTGAAATAAACAAGGCCTTTTCTGAAAAAGACATCATCTGGATGGCAGCATATGTTGCTCCAAAACGCTCAGCATTAATGGTGCCTTCACAGATTTGCAAGCCATCCATGCCATGTGCACTAAAGCACTCCAATACCACACTTGCTGGCATTTAAACTAAAAATTCCCAGATGGCCCCTCCCCTCTTTAGCCTAGAGGACATGGCATCCATGATTTCCAAAAAGAATTTCAAATTTTGATTCGTCGGACCACAGGACACTTTTCCACTTAGCCTCAGTGAGCTCAGACCCAGAGAAGGCGGCGGCGTTTTTGGGTCCTGTTTATGTATGTTTTTTTTCTTTGGATGGTAGAGTTTTGACTTGCATTTGTGGATGCAGTGACGAACTGGGCCCAAAGATCACAGCCATCCAGTACTGGTTTTTGGCCTTGTCCTTTGCAAACAGAGATTTCTCCAACTTCTCTGAAACTTTCAATGATATTATGTACTGTAGATGATGAAATCCCCAAGTCCTTTGTTATTTTATGTTGAAAAACATTATTCTTGAATTGTTGCACTATTTTCCCACACAGTCTTTCACAGTGTGGTGAACCCCTCCCAACCTTTACTCCTGAAAGCCTCTCTGGGATGGCTGGGATTTTATATTCAATCATGTTACTGATCTGTTGCCAATTAAGCTAATTAGTTATGAGATGTTCCACCAGGTGTTTTTTAAGCATTAAATGACTTTGCCAGTCTATTGTCGCCCCTGTCCCACAACTCTTTTGAGATGTGTTGCTGGCATCTAATACAAAATAGGCAAAATATTTTCAAAAAACAATAAATGTTCAACATTTGATATGTGGTCTTTGTACTATTTTTAATTAAATATAGTGTTAAAATCATTTGCACATCTTTGCATTCTGTTTTTATTTACATTTTGCACAGCGCCCGACTTTTTTGGAGAGAGGGTTGTAATTTCCGTGGTGCAGTATACCCCAAAAACTAAGAAAAGACCACACACTGAATTTCAAAAGTCAAATAGAATTAATAAGTACAATGTTTATCAGGATTACAGGAACATGAAAAAGGAAACACTTTCACACAAACACACATAAGCTCACACACAAAGGCATGACTAAGTCAAAAGTTCAAAGAAAGAAATCAGCAGGCTAAAACCCTAAAAGTAGAGAGAGAGAGAGAGAGAGAGAGAGCGAGAGAGGGAGAGAGAGAGAGAGAGAGAGAGAGAGAGAGAGAGAGAGAGAGAGAGCGAGAGAGGGAGAGAGAGAGAGAGAGAGAGAGAGAGAGAGAGAGAGAAAGTGCTGGGGAGTGAGAGCACCCGCAGGTGTCTTCCCCCTCTAACACAGTCTAGGTCAAAATAGTTATAGCTTTATGCAAATAATATGTAAATTAGATAGTCTACATATGCAATTGCTGCTTCATTACAAATCAAAACTACCACAATGCAGACTTGAATGAGCTCAGAAACAAAACTGAACCCAGTGTCTTTGGTGAGATTCAGTCAGCAAGAGTCACTCTCAGTCAGGCTCAAGGTCCCTGACCTTGGAGGTCCCTGAATGGTCACTTTTCACCCAGTTATACAATGACGTAAATACCCAGTTCAAAATACTGCACCACAGGCTGCTGCCATATCTGGTAGGATAGACTGAAGATGGGCATAAACAAGTCTTTAGCTCATGCCACAGCGTCCTTCTCAAGAAACATGCAATAGGCCTCACAGAGGCAAAAGGCAAAGGCCACAGAACTATAGTCCTAGGTGGAAGAAATGTGTTCTTAAGAAAAACACTCTGTATTGACTGTATTCACTGCATTGAATTGATTAAAAATTGATTATGTGTAATAATGTGTGTGTGTGTGTGTGTGTGTGTGTGTGTGTGTGTGTGCGTGTGTGTATGTGTGTGTGTGTGTGTGTGTGTGTGTGTGTGTGTGTGTGTGCATTTATTATGTGTGTATGATGTAGGCTCAGATCTTTGCTTAAAAGGACTTTAGATGTTTAAACCTTAAGGACATTAACAGTAAGGACATTAGGTGTCTAACTTTGTTTTAATGACCATACAACTTGTTGATCCACTATAGTGATGAAGAGAATTAGATGAAATTGACAAGGGAGAGTCAAATACACTTTGGCTACACAACAGACCTCAATGCATGACAACGCCTGTGCAAAAACATCCTGGTAAATAGTAAGTGGTTCTGTAGGCAAGGAAGTGGGCTTATTTTTGTGATAGAATTCTCTATTGGTTTTGCATTCAGCATGACAGAATGGAAAGTTTCAATAAAGGCAAGACAGCTTGGAATTAGCAAACAACTCTGGCTCAGTAATCCACACAGTGGGACAGGAAGGTCATAAGTACAGTGTGCAGGCACGTTACAGTTCACCAAATCCAGAAGAGAGAATGAACAAATGAACTGAAGTTGAGGATTAGCCTATATCAGACTATATTACATTTATCAGTCTTTTAGGTGACGTCAGTCTTTCAAGTTTAGAAAACTAAAGGGAAATTTTCAAAATGCAGTGATGATGCGGCGCTCCAGGACTGCAGGTAGTGCTGTGCGACTGATAAAATAAATATCGTAATATTTTTCAAATTATTCATGGTATGACTGTATGAGATGACGCTTAAGGTAGCATTAATAAAGTTAATGAAGCCTGTAATGATTGGACTCTTTTGTTCTCATCTTTTAAGATAAGATAAGATAAGATAGATAAGATAATCCTTTATTAATCCCACAACGGGGAAATTTGCGGTGTTACAGCAGCACAGAAGACAGAGCAGCAGGAAATATACAAACAATATTTAAATAGAATAAACAATAGAAGTATAAAGATATATATGTATATGTACAAAGATTATAAGAAAAATATACAAAGTATTAAATTTAAATTTAGAAATGTAGAAATGTATGTATTGTAGTGAGTATTGCACAGTGAATAAAATAGCAAATAAATAAACAGTAAATAAATGGAGAAATATTGCACTTGACATAATTGCATATCAAGTGCAATATTTAAGATATATAAAAAGATATCAAAGGGAATTTTACATAGGATTTTAAACTCTTCTTTCACACAATCTGAAACACCTCAACATTGACGTACATTTTAGTTAACTGTGAAAAGCCAGGAAGCCATGAAAGCACATAAAACAGAATTCAAAAACTGGATACTGTGATTTTCCAGGCATTATAATGGACCTAATCCTAATTATTTATCAAATGTATCACTGAAAACATAACTAAAACTGAAAAGCAAAATTGAACTGGGGGTCCTGTGCTCTTTATTTGAAGAAAATTAGAATTTTCAGACAAAATTATTACCATAATATCAAGTAACTGTCTTCTAAGTTTTTACCGTGTTCAGCATTAGATCTCTCCTATGACCAGGTATGCTCCCACACACTAAGAGGGGCACATCAGACAGCTGAGAGGTGACCAATGTCCAGCTCAGGTCAGTCACTGGCAGCCAGGTCCACCTTGGAGGGGGGGGCAGCTGTCAGTTTTCCTGAGAGGCCTGAGCCGAGTACACAAGTTCTCATATGAGATGCCATACTTGGCTTAGATTTCCTAGTGGCGGCTGGTGTCCTACTCGGCCTCAGGAAGGAAATGCTGGGCTTGGAGACGGGACAATTTAAGCTGGTTGCAGCGGCTTTCGGAAGGCGGCAAAGAGTGGGAAGCAGGCACTTTGCAGCAATTGTGCTGGCCGGGACTCTGTTTGGACTGTGTAGGTCGCCGGGACGGCTGACCTTGGGGAAGGGAGGGATGGTGCTATGTGGCTTCCACCACATGCCCCACATTTCAAGAGGAGCTCAGGGGGCATGGTATATAAAGCTGTGGCATGCACGCCGCCCCTCCATTAGAAAAGAGAGTTGCTTTTGCTTTGTTGCTATTTATGTTGTTTGTTATTGGTTTGAAATGTATGTGTGTGTTGTTAGTGTGTCTACCACAAAATGAAACCAAAATTATCTGCCTGCTATCCCCCATATTTTCATGTGCCTTTTCTGCTGGTGTGAATAAAATGTAGATGTATGTGTATGTGTGTGTGTGTATATATATAAAATAATAAAATAAAATAACTCAATATTTCTATTTCTGCTTTATGATTTTTTGGGGGCATACTGCTTCCAGAGACAGAGAACATAAAAAAACCACAGTGATTTTTCCCTCTACCTGGAGACAATGGGATTCATTACCAATGTTTGGATTGTGTGAGAAGTACTTAAATGTATGCCAAATTTGTTGTCAGACCCTCCACCAGGTGACCACCCAAGACTTCTGCCATAGTTCAAACCCTGATTTAATTGGACCTTTTAGGTACGACTAGGAGAGGGTAGTGTAGATTAGATAAGTTAGGTAATTACTGTCTGAGAATATTCTAAAAAAAAATATTTAAAGCGTTATTATGGTGACTTGTGTTTTGACGACGTGCTAGAAGCAGCTTCCGCTCCCAGGTCGCCCTCTCACCCCCTCACAGGAGGAAGTGGATACAGCTCTGTGAAACATCATCGGCTAGCAGCTGCGCTAACTGCCCTGAAGATGGACACGCTAATATTGGTAAACGTTTATAAATGTGTCGTATTGGCAGTCAGCTAATGTGGCCTGTGTTTGGTCTGAAACTCCATAAGACGGCAGCTGTAAGGATACAGTGCCCTGTTATTGGAGCTCAAAGTGCGCTAGCCTTTTCTAGCGTTAGCAGCGAAGCTCACTGAGAGGCTAGAAAACAGCTGAAAACTAACGAAGCCTGACTCCGATAACGGCACGTTTGCAGTACAGAAGTTCTTAGTTTTATACTTTAGAGCTTTATCAGACAGCTGTTTTGGGGCAACCAGGCTCAGTAGATACAAACTCAGTCCTCGTCTGCTGAGAAGTTTTCCTTTTAAACATATGGGTGGGTGAAAGCTAGGTTAGCTAGCTAAGTTAACCTATAGAAATCATACCGGACTGTGATGTAACGTTACTGTAGGTTAAACTACATTAAAGTAAATACAAGCATAGTCACATTACTGTAAACATAGACGATATTACAGCCTTATGCCCCTGACACATGAAGACAGCAACATTTGTGTCATGGTCTGGTTCAGAACATATTTATCAGAGCTGGGCAATATGGCAAAAATGTCATATCATGATACTTAAAGAAATTGTCGCGATACTCGATATGTCACAATGTTTTTTTTTTTTTTCAGACAAAGTAGTGTCCATCTAAAAATACTTTCAAAATCCGACCCAGTTATTTGTATTTAACATTTCACATACTCAGCTATACTTCATCCAGTTAAACAGGAATATTTATGCACATTTTGTAATCAGACATGCAGTCGGAATTTCCACAGTATGCTCAGAAAAGCTTATCGTGACATACTGTAATATTGGCCAGACATAATATTTGTTATAATATCTATAAGATCTGTTAAATGACAAGTTTTATCCCTTATCAGTACATTGATATATCTTCAGCTTTATTAATGTATTGATACGTTTATTTTCAAATATAATTATATGTTTTAGTTTCAGCATTATTTTGGTCGGGACGTATCCTAGTCCTCAAAGCTTGAGAGAATCAGACGCTGCCTAATCATTGGTCCAACCTTTGCCTTCTGATATGCTGATCTATGCAAGAGTAGATTAAACCATAAATGTGCTTACTGATTAACTTCTCTGCTTGTGTGCTGTTCTAGGAGCCCTCGCTGTACACTGTGAAAGCAGTCTTAATTATGGACAATGATGGAGAACGACTCTATGCCAAGGTGAGACACATAACCTGCCAACGTATTCTATTCCAGTTCTGTCAGGCTCCACTCCCAGGAGGTCACCTGACAGAGCTTGAAATCAGAATTTCTCAAATTTCTGCCCTGTTTTTTTTTATTATTTTTTTTTAACCATTTTATTTTTTCTCCATTCTTTTGTTACATTATAAAGTTTCAGGCAGTTTTCAAGCATGACAGAGTAATTTATGTTTTTGGCAAGGAAGTCCACCAAGGTGCACTAGGCCAGTATAGAAACAACGTACAAAATAAAATGTTTTGGGATGTAAGAAGGGATTTATTGCTCAATAAGTTTGTTGTTATGGGGAGTTTAAACTTTGGACAGCTGATAGGCAGTTCATTTTTCACATTTTGTTTATCAGTTATCTGATGACAACTGCCTTTGCCAGAAAATAAATAAAACAAAAAGTTAACAGGCACCATCATTAGTATTGTGGAGTTTTACTCAGCCTCCATTGGTGGTTGAGTTCATACAGGTCTTTGTTGGGTTCCAGTCTGGTTCAGGTTCAAAACTTGGTGCTGTAGATCGAGTTTAGACAGACTGTATTTGGGTTGAACCAAAATTTTAGGCCCAATTAAAGCTCTACCCCCTGCACTTTCTAGCCTTATGTGATATCTAAGTAAAAGCTTCTGATTCTAGGAATCGAGTAGTTATAAAGACTTTCACAGGTTGGTTTCGGTGGGGTAGAGTATTAAAAATACTGAAGTGGCCCGGCTCTTCAGTGTCCTCAAACCAGTCTTTGTAGCAGAACTTCACATGAAACTGCTTTTGGGTAATGTTTGTGAACTTCTACTGCTATTACTCTCTTATTAATTGGTAAGGCCTAAAGAGCACAAAACACTTCACTAGCAACACATTTCTATTAGAAAAAAAACATTTCGTTGGTAATGTGTACTTCTTGAGACATTTAATGTTGATACTGTGAAATTGGTCAGACTCCAGTAGTTACCAGTGTAATGTAAGAGGGTCATGATGGTTGTTTGTCCCAGTTACTACATACATCTCACCAAGTTCTAAAAAACAAGTTTATATTTGTAGATTGTGTTGTAATGTCTGTCTGATTCATATCTGTTTCAGTATTATGATGACACTTACCCTACAGTTAAAGAGCAAAAGGCCTTTGAGAAGAACATCTTCAACAAGACACATAGAACAGACAGTAAGGCAATTATTTCGTATGTGTGTGTGTATTTATGTATGTATGAATGTTGATGTATGACTTGCCTTTTACATGCAGTCCTAAAATATCATTATTTTTTGTTTTTAAAGGTGAAATTGCTTTGCTGGAAGGCCTTACAGTTGTGTACAAGAGCAACATAGATCTGTATTTCTATGTAATTGGCAGTTCACATGAAAATGAGGTATTTATAGAAACAAGATTCTACAAACTATAACTCATTAACTTTCTATGCATGAGTCATATGAACTTATCTGTTTAATTCATTTTCCCGCAGCTGATGCTTATGTCAGTGTTGAATTGTCTGTTTGACTCCTTGAGTCAAATGCTGAGGTAAGAAAGAATTCTCTGACCTGATCTTTCACATACTCTGTGACAGTACCCATGTCAGTTTGCCATCAGTAGTAATAATATTTCTTTTCTTTTAGGAAAAATGTGGAAAAGAGAGCCTTACTTGAGAATATGGAGGGCCTTTTCTTAGCTGTCGATGAGATTGTAGATGGAGGGTATGTATTTGACTGACTTCACTTTAAAGAAAAAATATTCATGCTCAGAGTCTACAAGTGGTTTTCAGGTTTTCAGGGGGTCTCTTTGCATTTAAGTCAATCATTTTAACATAACTCAACAATAGGTTAGGGCTACTGGGCTGTAAAAATGTGTGCTGCTAGGCCAAGGTCTGAAATGTTAGTTGTAGGGCTGTCAAAAGATGAAAATAATATAGACGTGCTAATATTCAGTAATAACAATAATAAGTCTACTGCAATATTCAGGATACATGCTGTGGTGGACACTTTGAAATACAAAATCAGTATAGGAAAGTCTGTTCATTCAGTGGCCATCTTGGCAACACCACGGGGCAGTTATTTCCACTCATACAAGACCAGGCTCCTCTCTCTTTGAATACGGATTCCCGTTCATATTTCAACCAGTAACCTGTCTCCTGCTTTATGGTGGTTATGTGTTCCAACCAATATTATCATTAGTTTCCATCAAAAGGATTTTTTTGTGGAAAATGTTGTTATTCTTCAAAAAGTTTGTCAGCAAAAACAATGGAAACAGAAATTGTCTGTAATATTTTATGAATGTCACCCTTTTTTAGCATTTAAAATTTACACATTTAGTATGCATTTAGTGATGTGACGGATTTCCCCTAAAGTGCCTCTTACATTAAACAAAAGCTTTATATACGTAGCTATATATACAGTCAATGGTTCCAGCTCCTGCATGATTGTAGCCTCTTATTCTCACGCTTTGTATGTTTGTATGTCTTGTGTGTGCTTGTCACAGTGGAGGCTCTCGAGGGGAAACTACGATAGTTTTCCACTTTGCTGTTGTTTTTGTTAGTTTGCTGCTCATTGATTAATTCATAGGTCTTCCCCAAGCACTGTCCAGCGTAGTCTGCCGAAAAGTGCTAAAGGGATCAATTTAAAAGCCATTTTAATGCTGCATTTGAACGAGAGGGTTACAGTCACAGACTCTTGCAACATTCAGTCTGCACTACTATGGATGGTTTGACAGGTCAAACTATGAAAATTTGTTAACAGCCTAAAAGAAATTAGCTTGTTAATAATTTCACATTAACATGTCATTAATGTGTTAACTTTGACGGCTAGTTAGTTGCAGTTACTTTAATTTTTAAAGTGCAAAAACAGTTGCTGCACATCCAATAGGTGACACTAGTCTAGGTAGTGATGACATGGTTAACAGTCTCGCAGTAAAAAAAATATTTGGTAAGTATTACTGTTTCAGATTTTAATTATCATTAAAACCATGGTTGATTGTTGCAAAAGGAGGCAACACTTAAAATCGTATGATTCATCTGCTGCACCATTTTAAGGCGGAACTGGAAAATTTGAACAAGAACCTATAGAAACTCGAGTATAGAAACTCGACTTTGGCCTCGTATTAAACCTGCAGATAGGTTAGTTTGATAGTCTAAATGTCCTTCAGAAAATGTTACCAGCATTAAAAGAATAAAGATATTTGGAGGGGTAAGTAGTAATGTTAAACTTACTGCCAAGGTACTGAATTAACATTAAAAACTCAATAAAACATTTGAACACTCATGTTTGAACTGTGAACGGTGAAATAATTTCAGTTTGTATGTCAGCAGTTTGTCTCTTATAAGCTGCTATAATCAAAATTTATTGCATCTCCATTCCAACATCCAACTTTATCATACATACATACATACATACATCCTTTTTTGTCAACATCTTTCTATATCCTAGTATGCACTGAGCATTTCCCAGAAGAGTGACTGTCTGTCCAAAGTTAAAGAGAAGCTGTGTTATCAATAGCACTGGGACAACATTGCAAAATAATGAATTTATTCAAAAGATTCTTGAAGAACTGCAGTTTTACGTAAATTATGTTTCTTGTCTTTACTTAATTTTTCTGGCAGTGTCATCCTGGAGAGTGACCCGCAGCAGGTGGTCCACAGAGTGGCTCTGAGGGTAACTATCATATTTCTTTCTGTCTTAAACATTCCATAATGTTCCCTTACACACTTTGCTCTGGATTTGGTTTTTATATGTATATTTGTGTTTGTGCTCTGATGCTCGTGACTGGTGGGGAAATAGAAGTATGAAGTAGTACAGCTGGTGACTGTTAGATTTGATTTTAAGTATTCAGTAGATAGCCAGCATGATCAAAACGAAAAATGAATAAGAAGCCCTATTAGAAGCTGATGAATTCCATCACTCATCTCCTTTCACCTCCTACAGGGCGACGACGTGCCTCTGACAGAACAGACCGTCACTCAGGTGAGAGAAGACTCTCTAGCCTCTATGCAGTGTATCTCTCTCTCTCTCTCTGTCTTTCTCTTTCTTCTGGGTAAATCCAAATTATTAAAGAAAAAAGATTAAAGAAAAAAGTTTTCACCTGACCATGTCAGAGTCGCAGGAAACAATGTCAGTGTGGCTGGTGTGCAAATTTTTTGTTTATTTCTTCATTAGTTTCGGAGACATAGTTGTATGCAAAAGTCTGAACATAGGAAAATTACATGTTTTGTTAATTTTCTAAGTGAAAACAAGTCAACTTATTATGGCATTTTCCTACAGATTTTAATGCACAGTTTCTATTTATTTCCTGAGTTTATGACGTTGGGAGAAAATAAAACATAAAACGTATGTGTCATAACTTTTGCACAGGCCACGTTGGGGGGGATAAAGTATACACTGTTAAACTCAGCCAATAAACAGTAATTGTGCAGTAAAAAATGCAAAAGTGTGTTCACTGTGGAGTATGTATACTTATTTTGTGTACTGAGGCTGTAAAAGTAGGAGTGGCTTAAATGTTTGCCTTAAAATGAGTGCTGTGAAAAAAAGTAAATACTTTGGTAAGTCAGTATTCACTGTCATTATTTATTAACTAATCACTCAACCTTTATTTCAACTCGGTCAATCTAGCCAAACAAGTTAAACACAGATTAAAAAAGTTCAAATTAAATTTAATCCATTACAAATCAAGACTAACAAGACTAAATTGTAAAAAATGGCTTGTCAGTCAACCTAAAAAAATTACTTCATATGGTAACAAGTAAATTAACTAGGGTTATTCAACCTAAATAAATATTTTGAATGAACGATTCTTTCAATCAGGGTAATTTTTGAGTTGAATAAAACTAGTTCAATTGTGAAGTGATTAATTTTTTAGGTTGGACTAACAAGCCATTTTTTACAGTGTAAATGAACAGTGAAGATAAATAAAAGCTCATACAAGACATAGAGATAAAACAGCAAAAAAAAAATATTAAACAAATAAAAAGTAAATAAAAACTAAGTTAATGGACAATAAAAGCATTTACAAATAAAATTATTCAGTAAAATTAAATTACACTGATTACACTGAACGAATTGTTAATTCAAAATATTTATTTAGATTGAATAATATTAGTAATTTACTTGTTACCACATGAAAATTTTCTAGGTTTAATTGACAAACCATTTTGGTGTAAAATAGAACAAAGTAAAAGAACAGACATCAAATGAATACAGTTGCAGGCTGAGTGAAGGTGGTTAGAAATGAGAGCTTTAATGAGGCTGGATGCAATGAATTTTGAGGATTATTTTCTATTTTAAAGTGTAAACGAAAGCAGAAAATACCAAGATGCAAATTTAACGTTATACTGTTGGCTGAAAATCGCTGTGCGGTGTATCAGCTGAGGTCAGACCTTCAGGAGGCCTTCTGTGATTTCAAATGGAATGACTCAAGTGGCCTAACTACTGGCAGTGCAGGCAAAGCAGTTGTTCTGGGTTCTATAATATGTAGTAAAATAACAAGTTAACTACTAGTGATACACCGTGATATCAGAATCATATTGGTATCGACAGACGATTGTTTTTTAAAAATGATCGGCGTCAGACAGATGATTAAATTTGACATATTTTTTGATTTTTGATTATTTATTGTACTCTGGGCTTAGTGGTATGTAATGGCTGGGCTGCTGTGCTAAAATTCTGCATTATATTCATTTTACTGCATCTGTGACCCGATTTGCACATTTTATAACTGTGTATGTATCAGCAGTGGCAGATAGACTAGCATTCAAAAGTTTGGAATCTCTTGTCAAAGTAATAATCACTGTTATTTTATGTGAACTTATTCAGTGTAGATTGAAATACTGTAAGCTACACATCAGAAGGTATTTCAGAATTCAAACTTTCAAAAGCGTGGGTACATGAAAAATGCCTGATATTGACTTGCTTTATCTTTTTTTTTTTTTTCTTCCCCAATGAAGGTCATTTTGCATAGGAACTCTGCACTGTGGCCCATACAATCCTAGTAATGCCACTGATTAACCCTTCTCTCTCTTGCTATCCTGTTGTCTAACCCCGCTAACAGTTGTTTACTGGTGGCACTGAGCGTCTCTGCGCATCTCATTTGTAAAAATCAGTCTGTGGTGGTCCGTTCAGCACGTGTTCGGTGGTGCCGCTGGGAGTCAGCCTCAGCGCCCCCCCCTCGCGCCTGCCACATGTAAAGCATGATGGCTAATTATTGGCGGCTGTCTGGCAGCGGCGGCTCCCTGTGGCCGCGGGAGACGCGAGTGCAGCCTGATTGATGGGCTCATTTAAGAGGCCTGCGACAGACTGCCTGCATCCCTCCCGTGCCGCTGATTAATGCCGCTCCTTGTCCTCCTGCTTTATGGTTATACTTTACCTCGCCTTTTCACAAATTAAGATGATTAATTAATTCCTGGATATTTTCCCCGCGCCTGCATTACTCAAGCAGAAACTTTTTTTTTTTTGGTATGCTTTTTGACAGTCTCCGCTTTCCGCATTTCAGAGTGCGTGTTGGTTTGTAATGGGTTTGTGTTTAGTAAGCGCTCTCTGCTTAACTGCTTACCTTGATAGTTTCCGGTCAGAGGTGACCTGAAAGGGAGGTGTTGATGGTGTGTGGTGGTTCTTTCAGCTTTGAAAGCTCGACGTCACCGGCGTGATGAACGACTGCGTAACGATGCTGTAAATAAAAACGAATGCGTTAATGGCACAACATGGCTTCGCTGTGTTAAGATTCAATTAGCACTTTTAGCCTTGCGCCCACAGAAAAATTATTTTTGAGGGATCTCTATCTGTAGGTACCTGTGTTTATTGATGAGAGTCCAGGGCACAGCACACTTATCAAATAAACTGCCTGATTCTGGCGATTTACACTAATTAAATGTAACTGCTTTAACCGTTTGGCTTATGGAAATTTGAAAAGTGAGTGCGTAATAATTTCCTTTTACTGTCTCTCATATATTCAGCATCCAGAAAGTGTTTGGGGTTGAATATATTACATTTATGTAACTGTTTTAAACCTCTGGAGGAGGGCTGAATAGATCTTTGTTTTTGTATCAATATCACAGTTTAGAAGTGCACAGTTTTTGAATTTGAAGAACTGTAGTTTTAATTATAGCCTGCTACTCTTTAAGTGGGAAAATTTAACCTGATAACATGGAGCTTTTGAACTGCTTGTAGAGAAGTTAGATCAGTCAGAAGCAACTAATCACACACATGAATGCATACATGACAACTCAGCATTCAGCATTCAAGCCTGAAGCCAGAAAAAGGGGATGTGCTAGTCTTCCCAGCCAAAAAAATGACAGACATGGACCTTAAGATGTAGAAAATAATTCCAGTTTAAATCGCAGTTACAATATTGGTCAGAAAAATCGTACACTTTTAAAAAGGGCTCATCAATTCAACCTAAAAAATTACTTAATGTGCTAACAAGTAAATCAGCTAGTTTTATTTAACCTAAATATATGCTTTGAATGAACAATTCTTTCAATCAATGTAATTTTTGAGTTGAATAAAACAGTCGCTTGTTACTAGGTTGAACTGACGAGCCATTTTTTATTTTTTTTTTACAGTGTAATAAGAGATTTTCCCAAATTTGAAAAATTGGTCCTGCTCCGGAGTGTTCAAAATGCCATATCTCGGAAAACTTCTTTGAATAAAAAAGTTTGTTGTTGTACGTAAACATTGTGCAAATTTTAAGATGGTATTCACTCCTCAGTCCTCAGAGTCCAGATATAGAAACTAAGTTGCTAAAACATCCAGTTTTCAATTCATTGTCAAAAGCAACACATTTACAGCCATTTATCTGCCTTTTTAGCTTACAGTAGTTTAGCTCCGCCCATTCATGTTGAATGGTTGTTTTAAAGTAGAGCAGAAATCATATATATATATATATATATATATATATATATACACACATGATGACGTGACACACAAGATTCAGGTGCCTCTGGTCAAATTATATGCTTTGTTAATTTTTGTAAACAGATCCTCTACAGAGAACACACTTCTGCACATGTTAATGCACAATTACTGTTTATTTGCTGAGTTTAACATTACAACCTGTGCAAAAGTTACGGCACATTTTATCGTTTGTTTTTTCTTCCCAATGTCTTAAATTAACTAAAATCAGCAGAAAAATGCCATATATCAGTTTGTTACCCATACAGCATGTTAAAAATGTAATTTGACCAGGTTGTTTATTCCGTACAACTGTGAATCAGTCTTGAAGGCACAGTAACAAAAACAGCTTGATTAATTCTAAAGGATAAAGAGAGTTTGGAAATAAAATGTAAATAAATTTAGAAAATGGGCCCTTTAAAGTGCTGTTTCATGATTTCTGTGCTCTCTCTCTCTCCCTTTCTCTCTCTCTCTATGCAGGTGCTGCAGTCTGCAAAAGAGCAGATCAAATGGTCTTTACTACGATAAGACGCTACTGCCCTCAAGAAGAACATTGTAGCGCATGTATCACCACCTCTCCTGTCACTCATGCCTCTTAACGCATCTTCTTTTCACACTTTTGAGTATTCTCTGTACTGTGAAATTGAAAGTCCCTTGGAAAAAAAAATTTCTAACATTTCTCTTACTTCAAGACGAGACAGGCACTGAACACATGGAGCCCTAAGGCAATTACGCTGTTCTGTTTATGACAGTTTGCTGAGTGGACTCTCTCTCTTTTTCTATTCGTTCTGGAAAGTAAGTCAAGCCCATACTGCATGTATGTCAACAGTGGATATAGCAAGGACCCATTGTCATGAGCCAGTTCTTTTTTCTGTAATACAGGAAAAGAGAGAGACAGAGAAAAACTGGGGTGTTTTGTTTGGGAGGACTTGCCCTTTAAGGAAAAGTACCAGGGACTTTCTGATTATTCCATTCCGGTTGACCTTGAATGTGTGTTTGTGTGAGATATTCGTGCTGTACGCAAAACGCTGTGCGAATAGAGAATGTGATTCATGTACATTCCAGTGGTCGAGTCTCCCCTCTCCCCTCCCAAATCCATGTTATGATTGAAATAAAACCGACTGTTTCCTCTTTGCCCTCCTTTTTTCATTTCGGACAGTCATTTCAGGTTGACTTGCGTTTGTCCTTCTGGTGCTGTTATTTTTCTGTTATTTCCATGTTGCTGGAATTATTTTATTTGAATCTAAATGAAGACAATTACTTCCCACACTTTTCTCATCAACAGATGCCTTCAACATGGAAAATAGACAGGGACTCACCAGCAAGATTAGAGCGCCATCTTCTGGCACAAAGTCAAAAGCACAGTGTTAAAGTTGAGGTACATTGTCAGTCTTTGCAACGTGTTTTCATTCTGATTAGGCACAACCCTGCATATGTACCTCATTATCATATTAAGAGTGATATTAAGAGGTTTACAAAAAAATGTTTTTCTGGCACTCAGCATGTATTCAGTGGTGACCAGTAAAAGAAGTAGGCTACTTCATTACTTTATTACTTTACTTTTTTGAGACTTTTACTTTCACTCTACTATATTTCATAGAAAGATATACTTTTTGCTCCACTGCTTTCTGCAGCATGTGTTGTTGAGTCGAAGAGTTTTGGATTTTTCATTATATGAAAACAGTCAATTCCAGAATTACTGGCATCCTTTAAGAAACAGGCCGAGAACAATTATATAAAATAAACAATATGCTTGACATGTTCTTCAAATATAATTTAAAGAAATTGCTTGCCATTTATCTAATAAGATAGTTTCTAAAAATATGTAGTTTTATTCTGAGAATAGTGTGAATAAAACAACATGTATTGGAAATTTGGAAATTTACACAAATTTATAAAAAAAACTTCCAAAGTGTTGTAAACTCAGATGAGACAGAAGTTCGTGAACCTGCATAGAACAAGTTGAAAATTGCAAGGAACTGTTAAAAAGGATGCGTGAGCTTACTGCCCCTACATACGAAGAAGAACCCAAAGAACACAGTTTCAGAACTACACAGTTTAATTCAATACTCCTCCCATTTGCATTTTGGGGAAAACACTGTTAGCTTATTTGTTCCCTGTCTCGAAAGCTCTAGGGCTTATATTCTGAGTGTGCTTGTCATAAAAAAATGGAACAGGGAAGGTTGAAAGCCACATGTTTTTCCCCCTCCTCCCTCCCGTTTTCATGCAAATGAGCCTGTGCCCCAAGAGAAATGAGAAGGAAGACAGGCAGTGCGTTATGGATGTGCTAGAATGATGTATTCTGGGGGAAGTAGAGGTGACATAAGCGCACTCTCGCTGATGTACTCATGCGGTGGGCTTGACCCCATTAATGGCCTGGCCTCGACCGTCTTCATGCAAAGAATGAAACAATGGCACATGGTCCCTCAGATCAGCATTTGTTGCAACTCTTTTGTCTCCTGATATGCAATAAAAGCATTTCCCAGATTTCCCAGAATAGCACCAGAGGGCTGGGTGTCAAGATTCAATGCAATTGCTCTGGACAATGTTCTGTTAAGAATCCCTGAGCCTGGGCACTCGTGGACGTCAGTCTCAAGGATCTACTGCTAGCGTCTTAGTGCTAGATACCACAGAGCACCTTCAGAGGTTTTGTAGAGTCCATGCCACGGTTGGTTGGAGCTGTTTTGGTGGCAGGTGGAGGACCAACAGCATATTAGGCAGGTGATCATAATGTTTTGACTCATGGGTGTATATATATTCTAACAGCAAGGTGGTATACATATATATAAAATTCTGTAAGAAAAAAGAAAAACAATACAAATGGAGATAAAAAGGTTTTTAAAACACTTTAATAATAATATTTTAAAGCAATGTGACTTTTAACTTTTTTTCTTTCTTTCTGCATTTCAAAGAAGACATCAAAAAAGTATCCAGGAATTGGTATCAGTATCAGGGAGCTCACTGAGAAGCTGCTTTAGTTCAAAGCGGTGGTTGTGAGTCAGTACATGCTGAGTGTGCTGATTAGTTTGTGATTGGGTCAGGTGTGCTTGGTGAGGAAAAGCACAAAATGTACACAGTGTGAGGTCACCAGGTCCAGGATTGGGAACCCCTAGTTTAGAGCTTGTTCAGGCAGGACTGCTGTGCATTCTTACCCACAGTGCACTCCTCCGCCGCCTTTCAGTGTGCCACTTTTATATTCATTCCTCCACAGCTCAGTCTTTAATAATGACTTGGCGTCCATATGAAAGAAGTACAGATAGTTGCCTTTATCTTGGCTGCTGCTTTCCTGAGGCATGTAGTGGTTTTTAAAGAGCTGAAGTGGAGACTTTTGCTGAAGCATAGATGCAGCCAGCCTTTATCTTAAAGCCTTCAGCTGTTAATTCTTTCCTCAATTCAGTGAAGTGGCTCCATTATTAGCTGGTGATTCTTTGCTGGACAGCTGTGAGCTGGCAGACTCCCACTTTAAGGCCCTGCCTTACAGTGTATTTGATTCACATCAGCTCTAGTATTGATAGGGCTGTCATAAATATTTATTTAGTATCTAGTCAAAATGGCCATTAAGTGCAAGTTATTCATTTTTCAGGATATATTTCTGAGGAGAACTAATCATTAGCAAATCATTGAGAAGGTACAATAATGTTCAAAAGTCAGAAACCAACTTCATTTATTTCATCAGTCTTGGTTACATTTTTGCTTCTCGTAATCCAGGGAATCCCAAACACGTTCAGTGATGTTGAAGTCTGGACTCTGGGGTGGTCAGTCCATTGTTCTGAAAACACCAGCAGATCTTTGTTTGATCTTATTTTTTGTCTGTTTCCTTTTATCAGTAAGGTCTTCTTCACAGCTACACATCCTTTCAGACTCATAGCATTGAGTTGTCTTCTCACAGTGAAAGGATGGAAAGAAAAGATTTTTTTTCAGAGCTAAAGCAAGAGTGGACTGTCTTTTACAAATTTTTTGAACTCCAGTTTTGGAAATTTCAGTTTTTTTCACTTATTTCACTTATTTTGACCTTCTCCTTACTCATGAAAGTGGATTATCTTATATATAAATGAAATCTGTCCTGATAATTTTATAACGTAATGGCTGTTTTGACTGGTAAATTAGTAATGAAGTGTCCTCTCTGACATAAAAGAGGACAAAAGAAATGTGTAGTCTCGCTGGTCATTTTGAGTAGCAAATAAAATGGCTATATTTGTGTTGCACATGTCACAAACTTATGTTTCCTGTCACCACTGCTGTAAAGAAATCTGACTTGACAAGTTTCTCCACAGTTAATAATTTCACATCGAACTACAATATGTGACTCTTTGCTGTTATTAAAGTTTCAGAGATCAGTTGAATTCCCTGTTAAAGGTGCACTCCACTCATTTTTCCAGAGGAAAGGTGCATTTTAAGAAGAAACAAAATAAAATTTAAAGCCTCAAGTCAGGATATATGGTGTCAGTGTAACTAACCCTTGTACAGTTTAGTACCTTTTTCTAAGAGTGGACTGTAGCCCCAGCGAGAAGGTCAGATTATACCTCATCCTGTCCCCCATCTCTCCACCCCAACATACCTGCCATTCCCTCTGGCTTTTCATCTGCATATTCCAGCGGCACCTGCGGGCGTTCAGCAACTCGCTTTCATCTGCTAATTACAGTGGCACCACCATAAAAAAGGCAAAAAGGTAATTTATATTAATTATACAGGAATGAGCATAATAGTCTGAAACGCCACGGCTTGATGCGCTGTACATAACATGCCATAAAATTGTCAAAGGCGTGTGGGCTGAAGGCCTGTAATTGATAGACGCATAGAGCATGTGTGTGCGTGTGTGCGGGCCGGTGGCTGCGTGTGTGAGTAATGGTCAATAAATTACGGTCATTCGCAAGCTCACGGAGTGTTTACGTCCACAGCGATGAGCGTGAGCGTCTGCTCTTCTCAGGATGAAACCCACCCTGAGAGCAACTGAAAGACTGCACAGGACAGTGATCCGACTAAAGCGCAGTCGATATCTCTGTAGGGCCATATAAAGGTTCCACAGATTGATCGGTGAAAATCCTACTGAATAAGCACCAGTAATGACCATTTTAATGTTATAAAAGAAAATCACATTCAGGAATGTAATGCTACAAGGTTATTTGTAAGCGGCTTGCTTAGCTGTCTTATGAAAGACTGTGAGTTTCTTCTGTTGCTTTTAAGAAATGTAAAAGTTGAGAACTAACAATCATCACACTAAAGCAATAAGCCACAAAAGGTCATGAGTTACATTGATTCTGTTTAATAACCAGGGATATTATTTAATATAGGTGGGAATGTAGACTTGGGAACAAACTGAGCGTGAAATTTGAAAATCAATCCAGCCCTTTAGGAAGATGGAGCTCATGGTGCCATCGTCAACACTGTCTGACAGGTAACATACCTGTTGTTAGCTCACGGGTGGATTGTAAGTTAGCAGGGGGAAAAATAATTCTGTAAGCTATAGCGATGTACTAGCTAGTTTGTTTTGCTTAATGATTGTGCTCTGGGCATTAATAGAGTACGGACTAGAGGAATTTGGTGGTGGGTTTAGAGATGGCATACACTTGTTAGCGGGAGAGTTTGATGCAATCCAGCACCAAAAATATAAGTTGTCCCTGGATGTGCCTTCTCATTACATGGGCCTGTGAGACTAAAAGCAAGCTAATTAACTCATCATAAACAGTAAAAACACTAAAGCAAACATAATAATACCAAATAGTTATATATTTGCAACAGCACATAGCACTAGCAGTTACCATAAATAGTAAAGAAGAAAGCGGTCCATTGTATAATATTAGATTTTGTAATTTTTTTGTATTATTTTGAATATTTTAATTTAATGAATGTTTAAAAGATTACAAATTTATAAAAAATGTATAGTAATAGTGCAACCTTGCATTGAAACTTTTGACAGCAAATGATGGTGAGGTTATTCTGTCCCTTTTTCTCTAAACTTTATTCAGAATCACCACCTAAAATCATCTGAAATTAAGCCACACAATATTAGAACCAGTGAACTTTAACATACAGATAATACCCAGTTAGGCACTGTGGAAAGATCATTTAGGTCCTCAACTGGCAGTAAACAGTTTTAATTTGAACATGTACAGAAAGCACTGTTTTATTCTGTTT